TCTACAATATGTTTTGTTCTTGTCTCAAGTACTTTTGAATATAGCTTCCCTACGTGGCTCAATAAAGAAATTCCTCTGTATGTGTCACACTCTCTTTTATTGCCCTTGTTTTCCAAATTGGGACTATAATAGCTTTTTGCCAATCCTCCGGTGTTTTCCTTTCGTTCCATGCTACCGTGAATATTCTATGTAGCCATTTTGCTCCGGTTTTTCCGCACGCTTCTAGGACATTAAGGGTAGGAAACTGTCTGTAGGTTAAGGGCCTGTTATACGGGTCTTTCTAGCCTGCTGCGCTTGTAAGCTGCCCTTGTTTCTTGAAGCCTCACAGGTCGCGGCTATAGACTTTCACCGTGTAGTCTGTTTTTATGCAGCAGCAGTAGTAGTAGTAATTTAAACAACAATATTCCCTATGTGGGTTCCGGGGCCCTTTTATAGGGAAAACAAGAATAGACCCACTGCCTACCCAAAAGCATGTTGTAAGAGTCGATTAATTGGGAGCTTCCTTCGAAGTCTAAGTGCATCTGCCTGAGTGGCAAGGATCCAACAGTCTGCACACAACTGAGTCAGCTCTGTCAAAAGGATGTACACGTAACACTCAAGTTCTGAAACAGGACTGCAATCCAGAAGTGGACGAACAACCAGACCTTTCTACTTGAGTTTACAGACGGTGAATGCGAGGGAGAATAAGAAACAACAAAACCCTGTTCACTCCATCCAGGTTATAATTGTGACTAGGTTATTTGCACCATATAAAATGGCTTAACATTGCTCGACACCAAGTAGCCCTGAAAAGGACTCCTGTAGTGTTGATACGATCAAACAAGACAAGACCCAAATACTGGCCAGCAAATGGACGATCCGGTCGCCGATAAAGAGCTTCATATTTTGTTTAGCCTTTTCAAATCTGCTGTTGCCTTGCAGGAGCATATCATAATTTCGTTGCACTTTCTCAAAGGGGTTATCTAAATTGGGGCTATCCAGTGGTATCATCATAATCATCTTATATCATCATCGCTCTTGGATGAGGTAGGCATTCCTGAGCCACATGACCAAGCTACTGAAATATTGATGACTTTTTTCTTTCCCTTGTCCTGCCCGTCAGATCTTGTATCCTGATTACTGGTTACACCACCTTGCTAATCAACACCCCACGGGAAACATCAGTCCATCCACATTGGACTACAGGTTACTACGTATTAGGTTTTTGTTGTTTTTAACGGATTTTTAACAGCGCATCAACATCAAGGCACACGGGTAAAGTAGTAAGTAAAGATCCCTTTTTACACCTTAGGCGCATCGGGTATATGGGAAAATCATCCATTTTTTTACAGACCATTCGGCACTTGGTTGGTAATGTGGTCAGCATTAAGCCGGTCGTCTTTACTTTCCCAGGAAAACCATCCTGTTACTCATTTAAAGGCTGGGTCGACATACGACGCCCCATACCATGATAAAAACCCACGCAGCCAGCAGTGGGTTTAGATCGCGGTACGGTGGAATTACGAATCGGACTCGCAACGCCTAAGCCACGGACGCCACTATGGCACACGGGTAGTAACCCATAAGTGCTCCATTCTTCTTCTAACTCAATTCTGGGGTCGAAGAAGCTCGGCACAGTGCACAGGCCCTGTAAAGCACCGGCGAGGATCCTGAAATACTTTGTGTAGATTTTCAATTCAAAATTTTGTCCGGGCAGTACCGTTAGGCTACACTTTTCGATTTCCAACTGCAAAGGGATTTTTTTTTACGTGCGCAAAAATGCACACAGGCGTCCAATCTCACTACCCAGAGACGAGGGGAAATTACTAGTCCAAGTCCACGTAACCGTTTTGTGGTGCCCTAATGTAACTGCGATATATGGCCATACAGTTGAATTGGTTTTCCGGGATTTGTACCTGTTTGATTGTCATCCTTGAGATGTTAATCATACAGGCCGCAATCCTGGAGGAGATTGATTTAAAAAAAATGCAGGGGGTTTAAGATCGTAAGTTGCGGTTTCCCTTCTGCGAATGTTTCGGCACTTTACTGCTACTGTTAACTTTTTGACAGTTCCGGGCGGACAGGGGAAATCCTGTGTCACTATTCACGAATATCTTTCTAAAAAAAAAAAAAAAACGATTAACACATTTATGTGTATTGATTGGCTATAAAGAAAAGGGGATAGATAAGAGGACACATGTTTCTGCGGCTAGGCGAAGTTAATAATTTGAATGTGATAGGCTCACTTTCCTGTATGGTAACTATAGCTTTCGGTTTTTATGTTGTCAAGTGAAGTAAAGGACCTTTTCCACCCCTAGACCTTTATTATAGAGACCAGTCGGCACTTGCTGGATGATGTATGTGGTCAGCATCACGCCTGTCGCCTTTACTTCCCAGAACTGCACCTGGTACTCACTTAGGGCTGGGTCGAATCAATATATGTCAAGTTGTTTCTCAAGTTTTTACAACGATCTGTGCGTTCTTTCTCGGGGCTGCCACCCAAACTGTGACCACGCTTGTGACTTCAAGTGTTGCATTCAGGACAGTGATTCAGTAGAGCCAGTTCATCCTCCTAATAAGTTTTAATTAGAAAGTCGTAACCGCTAAACCAAATACTACCCAGGTGTATACTTCTGCCCTGGTGAGAAGGGAAAACGTATTTTCCCTCCTCCTCTTCTTCCTCCTCCTTCTTCTTTGTTTTAAACTCTGAGTGAAAGTTTTGGTTGTGTTAGAGACCTTGTGTCTGTCGTAATGATATATGGCTCGAGTTGTAGGCGCCTGGCAGATAAACTATCCTAAACACACTAAACCAAAACACCCACAGAGCACACAACAATATTTAATGTACAGCACAATATTTTTTTTTTTTCATCGAACACCGGCTGTGAATTCCAGTGGAAGGTCCCGGTTAATCGTCCGCTTGGACTTTTGGCCTTCACCTGGACCTGATTTTTGCGTGTACAACCGTTTTTTATTTCCCTGCCTCTTGGGCAGCTGTACGCCGACTTCGAAGGAAGACGTCAGGCCTATTTCTAGGGTGACTGTGGCCATTGTTTTGTGTGGGTCGAGACTGCCTGATTTGTGTGGTGTCCGCCTTGTCTCCTTCGCCGCAGGTATTGCCCCCGGAGTACCCCTTTGGGGCAACCCCCTGTGGAACAGTTGGCCCTCAAGGGAAGGCAGGGGCAGATCATGGGCATTCCCCGCCATCCAAATAGGCTTCCATGCATGCAGAGCCGGCACATGGCGCTCTGGTTCTGGGCTCACCCAAGGAATCGTCACGTCCTGCACATGCCTGCTTAACCTCACAACCGTATCAGGCCTCCCGCTCGACAGGGGCTGCGCCCTCTGGAAGTCAGCGGGGAGCAGCCCGTTGGTTTTGGACTTTTGTGACCACACAGATAGGTACATTAGCCCGGCAGAATTTCACATCCTGAATCAGGCATATCGTTATCAGTTTTGTCCCAACACTCGGGCGAGTGGGGTCTTTGGGTGTGGACATTCGGCCTTTTGCATTTCAGTGCAAATTTTGATGGTCAGATTTTGATCCGTATGATCTGGTTTTGTCGGACATTTAGGCTTAGCCATCCTATGGATGGTTGCTGTTGTGGTGTACCACAGCGCGGTGACGACGACACTGAGGGTTAACCGAGGATGTACGTGACTGGCCAGCCCATGTATGGTTGCTGTTGTGGTGCACCTCAGCGCGGTGACGACGACACTGAGGGCCAACCGAGGATGCACAAGGATGGCCAGCCCATGTATGGTTTCTGTTGTGGTGCACCTCAGCGCGGTGACGACGACACTGAGAATTAACCAAGGATGAGCATTGAGCAATGTTCTCTTTACTCAGCAGTCTTTTAACCAAGGGTTGTGATTTTAGCTGTACTTTTGTCGAACCTACTCATGTTCCTAATGAGTTTTGATAACATTTTTCACCCAAGCGTTTGGGGGCGGGCTGATGAGAGCCACAAGGACACGTCACCTCTGGGGGCCGCCAAACTCCGAGATCCCCTGACAGCTCTGTTAATGCTCATTTGAGACATTATCCGTGGCGCACGACGAGGACGTGCTGTAGGGGTCTTGCGTGAGGTTCCGTACAACCAGGATAGTAAAGGACTGGCGCCCTAGTGACGTACGGAGTATCTCCTCATACACATCATGTTGGACTTAACTTCCCCTCACGCCTGTGACATAAATCACCGCGCCACACAGCACAATATAACATACGGCAGTGAGGGCTTAACAAATCACCTCACCATTCCAGGCCAGCACTTCCTCTTTTATAATACCCGGGTTTGAACTTTACTCCGATCTGTCTGTTCGCCTGTCAGAGCTTCACTCCTAGAGCAGTGCTCTGTCTGTCCATCTATCAGAGCTTCACTCCTAGACCAGATTATTTTGTCCATGTGTCAGTGAACAACTACACAAAAGGCCCGTCGCTGCTCCATATGAAAAATTAGACAACAGTCCTGACAAAATCCCATAGCTCGCACACGCGAGCTATTTGCATTAGGCGGTCGCCAGTGGTGCCAACACTTACAGTCTATCACTAGCCTTACTATTCATAGCTGACGGAAGCAGCAGTCATGACAAACTAGAGCGTACACACGTATCACTGCACACCCCCAATTAGGTGGCAATCGTATCTTAGCCATTTTCTAAATATACAGTTTACAACATGCTTTCTGGAGAGAACCGATTCCACCGTAGTATAATTTTTAATTTCCGTTGACTTCCACAAATTTCAGAGTGCTATGAAAACTGATCTTTTCTTTTGTGTTAGCATTTTAATACCTCCAACAGTTTTCCTATCTTAATCTACATTACACGCTTCAACACAAGGATAAAAAAATCCGCCGATTAGTAGATTATGGATTGAATTAATGTTTCTAGAAGGGGCGATACCTTAAGCACACAGACCTATACTACAAATGATAGAGTGCAATCCCTTACTGATCGAGATATTTTATCACTCTCTAATAAAGGAGTCGCAGAAGTGCAGCAGCTGGGCAGACGCAGACATGGCACCGTCGCCGAAAGATAGTGTCATTGAAGACGACCAGTATTTTAGAGTGATTATCAACGAAAGGAGTGTTGACGACATCTCTTTGGATTTCTTTTATAAACCGCACACCATTACTTTACTTGTCACGTGTATTTCTGGCCTGCTTTACTTTGCATTTACCAGGTAATTTGTGTTTTAATTCACCGCATTGAAATTGTTTGATCTTGGATTTAATTTTCTCTCCTCTCTTTTAACGACTTCGGCGCCGTCTGCAGTTGAAATATGTTTATGTTTTTATTAAAAAGATTTTAGATTGCAGTTGACAGCCTATAGCGCAGTTAAATATGTTGCTTGCTATCTTTAAAGAGTGTTGTGTGTTCCGATCAAGTGCTGGTTTGTTTTGAAATATTCGTTCAGTTAATGGAGAGTAATTAAATAATTAACATTTGATAGAGCGCAGCATGTCGGTGTCACCCATTTGTCCTTTGACCTTTCACCTTCTATTTTTATGTTTACTGATGTTACAAACGCGCGAAAAGGTAGCAGATTGTGTTGCAATTGTAGTATTAATTATTTTCCTTGACTTTTCGTTTCATCCCAGCCTGTTATTAATTAAATAATTTAGAATAACTGGTTTGTGAGTGACAGAAATAACTGCCAGACGACATCCGACATGACATATTTATTGTACAGACACCACAGTAGTAGTAGTAGTACTAGTAGTACACTCACAAAATGAGTTAGAAACAAAACTTCACTCACGTCTTCTTTTTAATCCTACTTTTAGTGATAGTCCGTGATGTGTGGTGTGATGTTGGTAGCTATGTCACTCAACAACCTTTTGTCTTATGTAATTTCTGACACAGTGTCAAATGATCTTCCATGCCTTGCTATCAAACTCACTGTCCACTGCAGCATCTTCTCTCAAGGTCTCCCTCTGCCATCCCCACTCTGCCCCTTTTTCCCCCATCTTTTGCAGTCAGTTTTCTTCATTAGACAGTTCCTTTCGATACATTTTGATTTTCATTACTATTTTTATGTTTCCAGGATGTTGATACATTTCTACTGCTTCCACATATTTTTTTCTTTAGTAATTGGCTCTAGAACTTTCTGCCATAGTTTACAGCCAGTGAGTGAATGCTGATATTAAAAAGTCTATGCGAAGATGGACACTGGACAAAAGAGACATTTTGGGCAGAAAATTGCATGAGGTGACAGAGCTGACCTGCTACATGATGACGATGGTGTAGTCTACATAAATTTCAAACATTCTTTATGTTCTTGTTTTAGTACACCTTCAGACATCAGTAAGAGTATATTTAAAGAAAGCAAATGTCATCTTGAAGTTTTTGACATTTCTATAAAATATCACCGGAATAGGCCAGAATAATTGTCTCAGCATAGGTTAGGCACTTGCAGCAGATGTTTAGCTGTCATTTTATCAATTCCACAATTATATTTATCGGTATTTCCCACCTATATTTAGCTTATTGAACAAGTGGTATTTCAACCTATGATGCATTGAGCAGAATCTGAAGATTACTGCTTGTTGACTATAAAGGGGCTTGTAATGTGCATAACCTTTTTCTATTCTTTGTATCGTGAATTACCTTTATCTGTATAGAAACAGTGTGTATATGCACATGTGTGAGCATGTGTGTATATATGTATATACGTATACATACACACACACACTATCATTGTTTGCCAGACAAATATAGCATCTTTAAGATGTAGTAAGAGGCAGCTTCCACTTATAATCTGAGGTGAAATTGCATTGATTGTGCAGTTATAGAAACAATATGAAATATATAGGCCGTTCAGTTTGTTATCTGACATAGAACAGTCTCTCTAAGAATTAATTAGCTAAGAGCAGAAACTAAGAAAAATGGTTTAGACACACCCACCCACACACCACACACATCACACACTACACATATATATATATATATATATATATATATATATATATATATATATATATATATATATATTATATATATTATATATATATATATATATCCTCTTCATGTGGCTGTTGACACATAAGGCATTCACAAGTGATCTCACTTGCTGCCCATCTACTGCTTTTCTGCCTATGGTATTTTATGTCAGTTTACACTCCTTCATTTCCCATTCTGTTGTCCTTCTCAAGGTTTCCTTAGGTCGTCCACATCTCCTTTTCCCATCTGCTGTCCACCGGAGAGCTGTTTTTGCCAGAGTTGTCACGTCATTCTGCAAACATGTCCAAGCCATCTCTATCGTCTATCTTTGATAACCGTGATGCACATTCTGTTTTCCTCCTCAGTTCTTCATTTGTGATCTTGTTTGGCCAAAATATTCGTATAATTCTCCTTAAGCATTTATTTTGAAACGTCTCAAGTTTATGTGTAATGTCCGCTCTCATTTTCCAATATTCACTGTTGTATAATAGTATTCCTAAAATGTTGCTCTTGTATATTTTGAGTTTTGTCTTCAGACTAAATCCCTATGTTTTTCTAATATTGTTAAGCATGGCAAATGCTTGATTTGTTTTGTTTATTATTCTTGATGTTACCTATTTTTTCAGAATCTCCGTCTGGAGTAACATTGCTTATAAGATATAAAAATTCTTCAACTTCCTCTATTGCTTCATCATTTAAGATAATTGAATTTTCTGTTTTGAAATTATTTCTCATTACTTTAGTTTTACTGGTGTTATGTAAAGAACTAATCAAAAAGTTACCTACCCCTTTGTTTTACACCACTGTGGAAAGTTGCAGACAGTGAATTAGAAGTTACAGACAGCAGTAAGTTACAGTGAATGGAAAGTTACAGACAATGAATAGAAAATTAAGACAGTGCATAGATCTTACAGACAACAGTAAGTTACAGCAAATGGAAACTTAGAGACAGTGAATTGGAAGTTACTGGCAGTGAATGTAAAGTTACAAACAACAGTAAGTTACAGTGAATGGAAAGTTACAGACAATGTATAGATAGTTACAGACAACATTAAGTTACAGTGAATGGAATATTACAGACAGTGAATTGGATGTTACGAAAAGTGAATGAGAAGTTACAGTAATTAGAAAGTTACTGTGAGTATACTGGCCTCTCTTGATGTTGACAACTACACTGATTAAGTGCTGACTGGTGTGTACAAATATGATTCTAGCACAGTAGAGGGAAATGGTTCTTTACGTTTTGATTATGTGTGGTCACATGTTCTTTGAAACAGTTTTTAATGTCTTCCAGAGATGACACCAGTCAAGGACAGAACATCTGGAATGGGATCAGCTGTGTGCTGTTCTTTTTTCTCATCATCAGTGTCCTGGCATTTCCTAATGGTAAGTTACATGATGTCTGCTGGTATAGGTGATCATGTCTCTTCATAATTCACTGTCTCTTGTGCTGTATATGCAATTTTAACATGACATTGTGAATGTCAGAAAAATATTTTTTTTTCTTAAATCTCTACAGTCTATGAGACCGTTATTCATTACAAATGTCACACTGTTTGCAGTTTCTCCTTGTCCCCTACAAACATGACCAGAGTTGACATGGTAATTATTAAATTAATCTTGTGACTTTTTCTTTTAATTTTTCTTTTCAACTTTTGGCCTCTATCAGACAGCTCCTATATCATTTTTGTGTGTTCCAAAAAGCAAATGATATCTTTGCTGTCTTCTGTCAAACAGTTGCTATATAAACCCTTGCTAAGGAAGTATTAATTTAACTGTGTCTGTTACATTGTGTCTTTTGAACTGTTTTACACCTAAGTGTGTGTTCTTTTGAGCTCAACTGAAGGGGGGGGGGGGTTAATAAAGAACTGCCTGGAACTGAAAGAGTCACTAGTTAATGGATGATTATAGTATGTTAGTAAATGTTAGTCTCTTTCTGATCCATGCAGGGATACTAATTTGATTATTTCAACACCCCTGTCCTCTACCCATTCTTTGTTTACATTGTTCCCTATATGCTTCTGGGACCTGATTGTTGGTGGAGTGGTGGGTGGTGGGGTTGTGTTGGGGGGGGGGGGGGGGGGGGGGGGGGGGGGGGTTGGGGGGGGGGGGGGGGGTGGGGGGGGGTGGGGGGGGGGGGGGGGGGGGGGGGGGGGGGGGGGGGGGGGGGGGGGGGGGGGGGGGGGGGGTGGGGGGGGGGGTGGGGGGGGGGGGGGTGGGGGGGGGGGGGAGGGGGGGGGGGGGTGTGGGGGTGGGGGGGGGGGGGGTGGGGGGGGGGGGGGGTGGGGGGGGGGGGGGGGGGGGGGGTGTGGGGGGGGGGGGGGGGGAGGGGGGTGGGGGGTGGGGGTGGTGGGGGCGGGGGGGGGGGGGGGGGGGGGGGGGGGGGGGGGGGGGTGGGGGGGGGGGGGGGGGGGGGTGGGGGGGGGGGGGGGGGTGGGGGTGGGGGGGGGGGGGGGGGGGGGGGGGGGGGGGGGGGTGGGGGTGGGGGGGGGGGGGGGGGGGGGGGGGGGGGGGGGGGGGGGGGGGGGGGGGTGTTGGGGGGGGGGGGGGGGAGGACTCAACAACAAGCATGCAGTAAAAGTCAGTTAATCTAATGTTATTTTCGAGGTCAGGGTGAATCTGTCTGAGAGGCTAGGAACCAGCAGTTTGCATACTGATAAGTCAGATCTGTAAAACAGATGTGTACACAAAACTGAAGTTCTGGAGTGAGCAGAAACAACCCTATGTGTGAGTTAACAGCCTGTGAATGCGAAGAAGAAGAATGATACACTGTTACCATAGATAGTTTTCTGAAAACTTGCATGATCCCAGCTTCTGAAGTGGGATTTCACCAAGAAAGATTAGGTTATCATTTTTCTTGATTTGTTCTCATTATCCGTGAGGACATCACTTAGGGCAAATCCGGAAACACTCAAGAAATGGAGAAATTTCATAATGATGCCAGTTAGGATAAATAAATAGTGTAAAAGTGATTGCTCTAACTTGGCTGCCATAAGACATTATATATCAATAAGTAATAATGTATAGACAAGTGGTGGGAACCATTTATTTTTTAACAGCTTTTTAGTAAGTTTATAAAAGCATTTGCTTGCCCAGAAAAGTATCAGCTAGCTAAAAAATTTTTGGGGATGAATGTATACACAGGAATTGATGAATGGATGAGACTGGTGGAGTGTCTTTGATGTTTGTATGAATCGAAAGACGTGAATTGATATATGTCATTGATGTCTGGATCAATGGATGGATGAGATTAATTGAGTGACCTTGATGTTTAGATGAATGGATAGATTCATGTGATCGATTTTGTGTAATCAGTGTTTGGAGGAATTGTTTTTAGGGATTGATGAATATATGTTCAAATATTATATTCAACAGACAGGCAACAAATAGACAAATTTTTTGTTTTAAAAAAAAGGAAAGGTCCCTTTTCCACGCCTATAGGTGTATTGGGAATATAGGGCTAGACATATATTTTTATATACCAATTAGCACTTAGTGGGTGATGTTGTCAGCATCACCATGGCCACCTTTACTTCCCAGGACTGCACCTGGTACCCACTCAAGGCTGGGTCACCTGGAAGTGGAGGTCTTTTTTTGAAAAAAATCTGGCTCCATCAGGACACGAACCCACGACTTTCTAATCCGCAGACGGGCATCTAGCCGCCAACGCCACGACGACTCCCATAATTATTTGTGAGCTATTATTATTAATATTGTTTCAGGTCCCTTTACCAGACCTCATCCTGCTATTTGGAGAATAGTGTTTGGTGAGTATCATGTTAGGCACACATTTTTTAAATCTCTTTTGTTAGTTATTACAGCAGTGTTCACCGAATGTTTATGTATGTCTTCACCATCCACAGTTAATTTCCTCATTTTCCTTCCTTTCTTTTGACCTCCTAATCTTTCTCCTTCTCCAATTTCAGCCTGTTAATTTGAAATTTGACTAAAATGAGATGGCTTTCCCATTTTTTCCTTGATCTTATTTCAGTTTTAAAGTTCTTGTGTTTTCCTAAATTACTTTTCATTTTTAAGTTGTTTTAGATATAGTTTTGCATCTAATTTTTTTTATACCTTTATATCAGGAACTTCAGTAGCACAGTTTCTTCTATCAGAAGCATATTTATGAGGGCCTCTCTGCCCCCCCCCCCCCCCCCCCCCCCCCCCCCGCCATTCATTCATTCGGTTGCTCACAGTCTCTCTCTTCTGTCTTGTTCTCTTTGTTACTCACTGTCTCTCTTCTTTTTTGTTTCTTATTCTATCTTAGACTTTCTGATTGTCTCTCTTATGTCTCTTACTCTCTGTTTTTTTCTAAGACTTTCTCAGTCTTTCTTTCTCAGACTTTCTTTTACCCTAGATGTCTGACTTCTATATCTTACTCTCTTTCACTCTCCCTCTTGTTCCCTCACTCTTTCTGTTTCACATTTTCCACTCCCAGCTCTCCCTCCCTCTCTATGTCTCACACATACACATGCACACAATCTCTCTAATTCCCCCTCTCTTGTCTTTCTGTACCTCCTTTCTTCTGCCTCAGTCTGTCCCTGCCAATAACTCACATTACATTGACGCCAACATCTGCTGGTTCCAACCTTCAGCCCAACTCCTGGCATGATTACTCAAACACATCCAGCTCTTGTTTTCTCATTAGCAGCTATATGTGAACTCCAGCCATCCTGTACATGTTGCATGATGTGTACTAGGTAATGGGAAGTCGGCAGTAGAGCACCCCTCACACAATGGGCATATGGTGCAGCACCCATATTTTGTTTAAATAAACCAATCTGCATGTTCCAGTATGCACAGGTGTGGTTTCTCTAATGAATGTTCTCAAATGTGTAGGTTGTCAGCATGGTAATGACCACATCACCCTTGAGTGCCAGTTTATATTTAGAGATGGTTTAGCTAGTAGCCTAAACCAGTGATTCCCAAACTGTGCGTCCCGTGGATCTGCGACCTCTACACGGTGATCGCCACGAAATATTCAAAGTTAGCCGAGTTTTTTTAAAAACAATTTTCTGTCTCTTACGTACAGTAGTCATACTTTTACTTAGGTTAAGGCGCCGTGAAAAATTTTAATTGAAAAAAGCACAGCGACCAAGAACAGTTTGGGAAAAACTGACCTAACCCTTTCTGTCAGTATTTATGCTGCTATGCACCACAGTTTAATAGATGGTATAAAGCTGAGCCAAGGCATGCATGCTCAGATGCTGGAATGGGAAGTCTCAGGTTGTCACTAACTCCTCCAGTCTATCTTCCCTAAATCTTTTCCTGCCTTTTCATATTTCCACATGTTCTTGCTGCTTGTATTGTTGGATTCATTCTTATTACAGGACTGAACCATTTCAGTCTGTTTATGTCTGTGAAATTCACTTTATAGCTAGTTGTTTCGAAAAGAGAAGGTTCTAATGGAGCAGTGATGTGCAGTACAAGATTCCTAATGTATCATAACCTCTTGTTGACCCAGTAACCCAGTAGAAGTTTAGGGTTTAACCCCAAGTGTAAAACTTGATAGGACAACAGACAAGGTAGAGACAATATCTGGCTCCATCAACCAACTACTAAGTTGAGTGCATGGAGTGACACTGTGAGCTGTGAATTTAATGAGGAATGCTTAGTGTCTATGTTCCCGAGATGTGTATTTGGAACTGGCTATTCAGAAAATTATGAGTGGCTGGTTGCCACAGAAGTGTTGGAATGCCTTATGCAGTAATGCATGTGCACCTGCTGGTTTGTCATGACTGCTGCTTCCTTCAACTATGAACAGTAATTTTAGAGATGGACTATAGATGTTGACTTCTGTAGCAGCTGGCTTATTCATTTGATGCATGAGCAATTGTTTTTATTTTTTGAGACTTTACACATGAGATGTTCATGTGTATTTTGTCTTGTTGTCACTGCTAGCACAGGAGTGGAGCACTTATGGGGTGACCTGTTGAAATCAATTCTGGTGGCCTGATAGCCTGTTGCACAAAGAACGATGTGTGGGTAACAAGCAGACACTTCAACTAAAGACCTAACCAGTGCTTTTTTTTTTTATTTCTATAAATTATTCACATTATTTTCTTCATTAATAAAAGTTTAAAAAAAAAAAAAGCAAGGAGCCCTTTTGTGCCAGTGACTCAATGGACGTATGATGCCAGATCATGTATTTATAAACCAGTCAATTGGTGGTTGATGTGGTCACCATCTGAAGTACCCATTTGGGCCAGGTCAACCTGAGAGCCTAGGTCATTTAAAAAAAAACTCAGATCTTTGCCAGTTTGAAACCTCAAGAACTTCAGGTTGACAAGCTGGCTTACCCCTGCATCTTTGATATACTTTGGTGTAAATGTTATCTTGTTGTTTGTTTGTTTTCATTTTACTATGTTTTCAGGTTGTTTTTCATTTTTTTTTTAATCATCTATTTTTCCCCTTTATCTCATCCTCCATATTTTTCTGCCTCATTGAAGTGGTATAGGAAATATGTAAGGATCTTCTAGTGCTCTTGATGCTGATGATTCTCGATAAAGAGATTTGAATTAAATGAGCTGAGGGAGGGGGGTTGATTGTCTGTAGAAGAAGCTTTTTGTCTCTTTAGAATTAGTTGATTATCTGGGGGGGGGGGGGGGGGGGGGGGGGGGGGGTGACTGTCTGGAGAATGATCTGATTTATCTTGGGCAATGAGTTGATTATCTGGGGAGGAAGCTGACTCTCTGGAGAATGAGCTGATTTATCTGGGTAATGAGCTGATTTATGAAGGGAGGAAGCTGACTCTCTGAAGAATGAGCTGATTTATCTGGGTAATGAGTTGATTATATGGGGAGGAAGTTGGCTGCCTAGAGAATGAGCTGATTTATCTGGGTAATGAGTTGATTATCTGGGGAGGAAGTTGGCTGTCTAGAGAATGAGCTGATTTATCTTGGGCAATGAGTTGATTATATGGGGAGGAAACTGGAGAATGAGCTGATTTATCTGGGTAATGAGTTGATTATTTGGGGGAGGGGGAGGGAAACTGGCTGTCTAAAGAATGAGCTGATTTATCTGGGTAATGAGTTTATTATCTGGGGAAGAAACTGACTGTATGAAGAATTAGCTGATTGTTTGGGAATTAGATGATTATCTTGAGAATGGGATGATTGTCTGGGAAATCTGGGAGCTCCAGGGGTTGTTTTGTTTTACCCAGCGAGGTTGATTGTTTTCTTCAGGTTCTTACTGGACACCCTGCTGTATTGTAGTTTTCAGGTTTTTTTTTAAATTGCAGAAGACTCCATTATGGGAAAGCTTTATTCTTTTATATTGTTAAATATATGCCAGCATCTGTTGGTTTAACATTTAAATGTTAATGATAAGGGGAACTTGTTACATGTTATGTGTCTCATAAACTGTGAATTACTGGGAAGGCTTACCAAACAACTAATGCCCGAAGAAGTCAGATGTGTCAGAATATTATAGTTATTTTGTAAACAGGCACATCACAGTTACATCCAAAACAAACATCGGGTGGATGAAGAAGCAGAAGAGGATATCCTGTGTATTTAGCAATGAATCTCCAGTAGTTGATAATATATTTCTGCATTGACAGTTTGCCCATTTCATTGCATTATCTAATCCATATTCTTGAATTATCTTATAGCAAGCTCTTGACAATCTTCTTCAATTTCTGCCAATAGCCTGTGTAATCACCTGAGATTATTAATCGATTTTCCTTCAAATTTTAATCCTGCTTGCTCTTATCTTTTCTGTATATCAGTTAAGCAAACAAGGGGATGTGCTGACGGTGTGACTGAGAGGCTAGTTTCACAGTTCTAGTTGATGTACCCTGGTTGTGGTTGGCAAGACTGGGATATCACTGTGTGATATTCTAAAAGGCAGCAGCGGATCCAACCTGGTCAGCCTTTATTGTAGAGACAGCACCAAAAAATGAAGAGGGAGGTGGGGAAGAAATTGTCAACTCACTCTGTCATGTCTACATTTCCTTCAGGTGTCTGGTCTAGACTAGACTTCCAGTGAAAATGACTGTCCAGTAATCTTAAGGTTTTAGGTGTGAAGAGCGAATCAACATCATTGCATACGGGTTGTAACCCATAAGTGCTCCGTTCTTCTTCAAACTCAAGTCTGAGTCAGAAGAAGCTCAGCATGGTGCACAGGCTCTGTAGCACCGGCGAGGATCATGAAATACTTTGAGTAGATTTGTAACTCTAAATTTTGCCCAGGCAGCGTTGTTAGGCTACTCTTTTTGATTTCCTACTTCCACAGGATTTTTTACGTGCGCAACAGTGTATTACCTAAAAACTATGGGATATTACTAGATGTTCAAGTCCACGGGAAAAGTCCCAGCCCTTACCGGGGATTGAACCCGGAACCTCTAGCACTCGAGGCAGACACTGTGCTTCGAGACCATGCAGCCCCTTCTTCATATTTAAATAGTGGGAATATTTTGCATAATTTATCGGCTGATATATTTCGCTGTATTTTGTCGAGTTGGCATAAACTTTTAGCGAAAAAAAAACAACCTTTTAACCTATTATTCTGCTTCTTCGTTGCTTGCATGGTCGACCTCTGGCTCTGCTTCCATTATGTTAAGTGATAAGGCTATCTATGATGCACTGTCTGATGTTAGTCTTGACACTTGTCCAAACCGTTTGATCTGTTGTCCCTCACATGTTGAATTAAGAATCAACATCATAGCACTCGGGACACTCCCATAAGCGCTCTGTCCCCCATCTTCTGCAGTATGCGAAGAGTTCAGTTCCGATGGTACCAGCAACTGTTTGATTGTACATCAGTCTCATCCTTCCCTTGAGTGTTGAGCATCGGTAAGATCACCTGGTAACTCCCCGCATCGCCATTCTCCTCAGACCGTAATGATCTGTTTGTGCTTGCTGTCCCTTGATGTCATTTATCACAGGTTCAGTCCCAGCTTCTTTCCTGATATTGTCATTTGCTATCTTGTCTCTGCTAGTTACGCTTAGGTTTCTTCACTGGCATTTCATTTCATTTGTTTCAATTTTTCTTTTCTTGTTAATGTCCATGTTTGGTGCTGGTAACACAATGTTGGTGACAATTATTTATTGAATAGTGCTCTCTTGGTGACAGTTGTTACACGTTTGTTCTGCAAAATTGATGACATCTGTCCAATAATTTAACTTGCTTTATTACATATGTGTTTTTCTGCTTCCATTTTCCCAGTACATGATATCTTCTTCTTCTGCGTTTATCCGAAGATGTAATTGTGTTGTGTCCGTTTACAGCATGGCTGCGATATATGCACCTTTTGGCCAACACGTCCGACTTCTGGGGGATAGTTCATATTATGCTCCCTAGTTGTTTGAAGTTTTTTGTTTGCTTAAGTTTTTGTTTATTCTATCCATATTTTTCTTGGTTCTGTTATAGCAGTAGTCATAATTTGTGTGTGTGTGTGTTTTTTTACATGTTAATTTTCATGATTTTTGTTTGAGATAATGTGTATTATTATTCATTATTATTATTAATATTATTATTATTAGACTACTGCATTATATATTATGTTTGATAATATTGTTACTCTTGCTATTCCACCAGGACTCAGTGTGATTTACTTCATGCTGCTGTTGTTTATCCTGTTCCAAACTCGTGAGGATATCCGTAAGATGATTGTGTGGTTATATCCAGAACTGCACGATTCTGGACCAGATGAAAAGGTATGTATTAACTGTTGTAAAACAAACTGAAAGATTCTGCCTTATGTCCCGTTTATTGTGGGGACTATAAAATGTGGACACATAATAATATAATGAGCAAGAAATTTGAGGTCAGTGAGATATGGTTTCTTCAAAGAATGCTAAGGGTTCCTTGGACAGCAAACAAGATAGATAACCAAGTACCACACAGGTACGTGATTTCCTCCATGAGGATAAGATGCGGGCTCAAATTCTGATTTCTGCATGGGTTCTTTCTTTCTTTTAATTCACCTCATCGGTCCCCGATTTTGTGGGTAGTTTCTGGGAAAGTCCAGTTGTATAGGGGTGTTAATATGAAATAAACACTGACTAACACTGTGACACAGAGACAGGATTCCCTCCATCAGGATAAGGTGAGGACTTAAATTCTAAATTCTGTATGGGTTCTATCTTTCTTTTAATTCACCTGGTTAGTCCGAGATTTCATGGGGAGTTTCTGGAAGAGTCCAGTAGTATAGGGTTGTTAGTGTGAAATGAAAACTAACACTGACCCTCACACCCCCCCCCCCCCCCCCCTTCCCCTCCCGATTATTGGACTTTTCCGGGTACTGCCAGCGAAATCTCATTGTCCTGAGATGAGGGAAACTAAAAACCACTTGGTATTGATTTTGACAATGGTGTGAGCATTGACTGTTAAGAATGCAGTGGCAAATCACTGAATGTAAAATTGTCTAGTAAAAACACAAACATCAAACAAACGTGGAGTTTGTGACGTCCTGTAAAGGACATAAAACTAACTGATAATGACATCTGTCAAGAATCTGCTCATTCTTTCCTTCTGTGACGGTATTAATTCATAGTGTTGCTTGAAGTGTCTGATCATTGGATAGGATAGGACAAGACATTGAGTAAACTAGATAACAAATGAGAAAACAGGACACTAGACAACACATTGAGTTAACTAGACTATATGAGAAAACAAGACTGTAGACAACACATTGAGTTAACTAGACAAGAATATAACTAAAGCAGCTTTGCACTGGAACCCACAGTCAGAGGTGAAAAGGCAGTCAAAAAACACATGGGGAAGAGAACGAGATGAAAAGATGATGTAAACATGGTGTGAGCTGCCCACAGTGACAAAGGACAGAGTGATTTGGCCTGAGTTAGTTGACGAGCCATTACTCTGTTGTAGAGAAAGAAGGATAGAAGAGGACTGACATTCAGAGCACAGGTCTCGATGCTTTAATAATATCCTACCCCAAATAGGAGAAATCCACAGGTCATGGGACAGTCTAATATTTCAGGAGATGGTAGATAGGCTGTATGCAGTCGTGGGACCTAGGCTACATGCAGTCGTGGGACCTAGGCTGCACTCTCTCATGGAATGTAGGTGGGTTGGGGTTAGGGCCAGTTCTAGATATTTTGGGGTCGTTAAAAGCATCAAAAAGCTGGGAAAAGGAAACCCAGTCTTACCACCCTCTAAAATGTTGGACTGTCCTGTGATGTCATCTGGGGTAGGATGTTAATAAAGTACCCAGGTCTCAATAAGTGAAACTGTTCTTTCCTCAGTTGTATGCAGTAAACTGCTCAGAGATTACGGTACAGCGGCTTTGGAAGAGCGTTGATGTATTTATTCTATGCCACTTCTTCGGCTGGGTGACCAAAGCTCTGCTGATCCGGCACTATGGTATACTTTGGACCATCAGTGTTATGTGGGAGATCACTGAGGTATGTTGTTTGTTGTTTAATATGGTTGTCTTAACTTAGCCACATTGACATCTGCTGATCCGACACTACGGTATTCTGTGGACCATCAGTCTTTTGTAGGAGATCACTGAGGTATGTTATTTATCGTTTAATATGGTTGTCTTAACTTAGCCACATTGACATCTGCTGATCTGACACTACGGTATTCTGTGGACCATCAGTCTTTTGTAGGAGATCACTGAGGTATGTTATTTATCGTTTAATATGGTTGTCTTAACTTAGCCACATTGACATCTGCTGACCCGACACTACGGTATTCTGTGGACCATCAGTGTTATGTGGGAGATCACTGGGGTATGTTGTTTGTTGTTTAATATGGTTGTTTTAACTTAGCCACATTGACAGGCAGCTGCCCCAGTAGAGCTGTTTTATTTTATTGAACATTTTTTTAAGCTTCTGCTCCTCTTGGACTTAACATCCAGATTGTGGCTTTAGGAAAATCTCAGGCTTGGTCAATTAGCATCCTGTTGGAATTCAAGCCATATGGTTCAGTGGAAAATGTGCCTCACACCACAGTTTTCTGATCAGAAAACCATTAGCAGGGAGAATAAAGAGTCACTGGGTCTCAGATTTCTTCTGTCTGGCTTTAAAATCGGCCTGCACAGTTTATGGTGATTGCACTAGGCATGTAGCCCTAAGTCCTCTGGCTCCAGACCCCTGTCTCTACTGCCCTAAAGTGTTTGGAATTCCAGTGTGCTCACTATATTTAGCTTTTGATTGTTATATTGTCCAGTGTATCCTCTTTTCTCATTTACTTCTGTTTACTTCTCTCTTCTTACAAATTCATAAAAAAAGAAAAAATAAGCAACATCCCCAAGTGAAATATTTGGCCACATTAAGTATACCATTCTTATAAAGAGATACTGGATTGATAAGTTGCAGGAAGGTGAGCAAGAGGTAGGCAGCAATACAAGTGGAAGAATAACAAAATAGGGATGAACACCAGTCTCAGAGTATACAACCAGGCTGAGACACAGAGATAGTTGGAGATCTATTGCAGCAAACCTTTATTGTGGAGATGGCACTTGATTGATTGAAAAGCATCTCACATATCTTTTACTGTTAATTATTTTTGTGCCGGGTCATGCGGGTGCTCAAGACAACGAGCAATGCAGATTATCTGGCAGATACTGGGACTGTTATGACTGGTCCAGTACTGGACAAAAGTAATGTCCTCAGTGCCATAAGTGGTGCATATTGCAAGGAGGAATATAGAAAACCGCAATGACTCTGTATCTAAATCGTAGGGGCTTGGGAGTGCAGCCTGAAGCTGTCAGCTATGAACATTTCACTAAGAGCACAAGACATTGGATTAATCGACATTCGTCAGGTGTTATCGACTATTTTACATTGGTGAAGCTATTGCAAGAGATCAGAACACCTATGGATATGTCCGGAAGGCTGTCGTGAAGTCCCCAATATTCACTTTTGTTTTTATTGATCCTCTTGAGTAGATCGGAGCACCTGTGGATATGCCTGGAATACTGTCGTTATAGTCCTCACTATCACTTTTGTGTGTGTCAATCTCCTTGTGCAGGTTGTATTTGCTCATCTGCTGCCCAACTTTGCTGAATGTTGGTGGGATGCCATTGTACTGGATGTGCTCCTGTGTAATGGTTTGGGCATTTGGCTGGGCATGTGGATCTGTCGCAAGCTGGAGATTCGGGACTATCACTGGGAGAGTATCAAGTGAGTGTGACCTCCTTTGTTTCCTTTCCCCTCCTTGAGTTTTTCTAGTTGTCTTTTTATAGCTTTAGATTTTGTCTCTGTATATATTTTTTCTTAGTCTGTGTGGTTATTACTCATTGTCTTCTAGTGTGTGTATACACATATTAATGAAATGTTATCTGTGTTAAATGTTGCTTGTATCTGTATTTGCTAATAGTCTATGAACCTGTCTGGAGGTCTGTATATTGGGCTTCTAGGGGTAAAGGGTTGAAAGGTTCCAAGTGGTGGAGGTATTTAGGATACTAGCTCCCAGGTCGAGGTCTTTGCTATAGTAATGTCTTAGTACATAATTAATTAATAGGACAACAATCACAGATGAATAATGTTCCCAGGATAGCCAGGATGACTCTGAGATATATTGCAGACAAAGTTCTCTTCTGGGATTCAACCTTTATTCATTTACTTTAAGCATTGTATCACAAAACTGTATTGATAAGACAATCAGTTAACCAGTTGATTAAGCTCTGTGGCAGGGAAACAAGGTTAGGCCATGGTAAGGTTGCGGGGATTTCTCCCTTCTAGAGTGCATCGCAAAAGCGTGCGCTTGTTGGCGCCTCTTATGACGTCTTTTTACCGCGAGTCAGCAGTCTTCATCTTTGCTGTGTCTGGTTTCAGCAGTTTTCATCTTTGTTTGCCGTTCGTTCCTGCCATGACTTTTCTACAATTAGTAACATCTGTAAGAGACCAGCATTGCCCATGTCGAAAGTCCACCTGTTGTTGCCACGTCTGGTTGCAGCAGATTTACTTTTCTACAGTTAGTCGCATCTGTACAAGACAAGGAGACCATCATTGCCTTCCTGCAACAGCATGACATTCTGCACAGAACGAGACGTTGCAGAAACGACTATCAGATAGATGGTGTAACATCGCTGTCGGAAAGACACATAGCCGTTTGCCGGTGTCAAAAGTCCACCAGTCGTTTTTACATACCTGTGCGGACCGCTTTCCTGCAACTATACCTCGACCGCCGAGAGTATCCACTGCGTCGCTACGCGCCGTGCAGAGTGGGGCTAAACTAGATGGCTGGGACTCACGAGCAGCAGCTACTGCAACTCCTACAGATTTCCTTTTTTTATTTGCGTAGGGGGGGGGGATACACTGGGCAGTGATGGTATAGTCGCCAGAAAGAAGTCCACAATTTACATGTGACTGAGACCCTAGTAGTGTATATTTACGGCCTCAATAATTTAGGACCGTTAGTTGGAGGATAGCCCAAAAAACAATTTACATTTATTTAAAAAAAAAAAAAAGTCGATGTAAGGATTGAACGCAGCATCTTTCATTTATAAGGCGGATATGATATCAACTACGCTACACATTCACATGACAAAATAATATAAAAACATGACCAGTATTGTACACAATTGCGCATCAACAAACAGATATATGCCACACCAAAAAACACTAGAAGAGAAATGACAGCATCAGCACACTTGCACCCCTTGAAATAGTGGACTGTCAAGACAGCTGTGGAATTCCTACGGATTCCCCGTGTTTGGGGTATGTAAAAAATATTGTACCAGGCTGTCTCTTCCAGGGTGAACACATCCTTTTGTCACTGAGTGTTGGCTCAGAGGTTACAATCCATTCCCATCCAATCCATATCAGACAAAGGAAAATAGTTATTCTCTTGGCCTTACAGGGACGCTGTCTGGGTAAACCATCCAAACTTGCCTCTGGGTCCAATAGCTTCTTTCATCCATCTTACACTGGTATGGTAATGGTACGGTATGGTAATGTTAGTTTCAGCTTCATAGCAAACGGGTCTCCCCATAGTTGCTCCCATCCTGTGCCAACAAAAAACACACACAATGTTCATCACAGTTCCTTGTGGAGAGATTGACAGACTGCTGTCTCAGCATATGCACTAGCATACACACGCATTAAAAGCATACAGTAGCCATCAGAAGTGAGATGTGGATTTCATTTGGAATGTTTTTCGACTGTAACCAATGTGATGTTGTGAATTGTAGATTCAGAAAATGACATGTGGCCTGTCATCGCAATATTGGTGGTGTTACCTGTGACTCCTTCATGTATTCATCTTTTTATGCCTGTTTAAATGTAGTTATTGCGAGTGGTATACATTTTTCAGTATTAATTTTTAGCTGGTAATGTAAAAACTTGATAATTGAGTTCAGAGAGTTGTATCTTGTCAGCAGTCAGTGGTTCACACATAAGTACTAGAGAGGTGCAATGTGGGTTAAAGTTATGGTGACCATATATCCTGTTTTCACCAGGACAGCCACGTTTTTCTAAGTGTGCCCCTGCCATCCTGTCAGTACTCCAAAAAAATGTGTCAGTTTTCCTGTAGAAATTATTAGATTCATAGTTTTGGATACCTTTAATGCCTGAAATGTGTTGAAAATTTTCATTGTTGCATGTTTTTGTTTTTGTAACTAGTTATTTCTTAGCTGTAATAGTTCGGTCTAATACCCTCGTCAAGCAGTTAACCCTTTCACCCAGGTGACCTAAGAAAAAGGGGTGGGTGGGTTAAACTTACTTGCTTTGCATGTCCTGTTTTGAGTTCAAAATATTATGGCCGAGCACTGTTTGTGCAGTGTGCCTATGGCAGAGGTTCTCAAACTGAGTGCCGCTGCACCCTAGGGTGCCACGAGCGTATGCCAGTTGTGCCGTGGCAGTGAAAAAGAAAAGTTGGCTAAACATTGTGAGAATTATTAAAGAAAGCATGCAGATACTTAAAAGTTAAAATTTAAGTTGTCTTCCCTCGCTGCTGTTAAAAAAAGTTTGTTTCACACTCAGCCGTGTTTCATACTTCATAAAATGCCAACCGTTACGCTAAGAGTTGTCCTTGTATTTATCTTGAGGTGCGACCGATCCTCTACCTGAATTTGTTAAGGTGCAGTCTATAAGTAAAGTTATGGTTACATTGTCTCAGCAGACACCAGCGAGCTTAAGCCATCCATGTTGGTGTGCCTCATTTCGCAGAAAGGCAACTCATGACCAAAATAAAATAGTACCCTGGCTACCTTTATTTGTTAGGCTTTGTTTCGGTTGGGAACGAACAGGCACCGGAAGGGCAGTGAGTTAACTGCCATAGAAGTATTTCTAACAGCTGCTTGTTTCCGTCTAAATTACAGAGACATCTGGAATGCAATCATTCTGATTTTGTATATAAAGAATAAGAAACCTTCAAATGCTGTCTTTGTCTCTTCAGGCAGGGTCATCCATGATAGAGACAATTTCTAAAAATGAAAATAATATAATGCAAAATGCATACAAACAGTTTTTTCCTTTTTTAGCCTGAAAAGAGTGCAGCGCTGAAAAAAGTTTGAGAACCGCTGGCCTATAGCATGAAAAAGCACCCTTAACTTTTATATATTTATAGAGTCAAACTGACCCTGTTCATACTTTGGCATGGAGGGGAAAAGCACACAATTTGGCCATGAGAATAATTACAGACTACACATTTGTAACCCTAACTGGCAACAGCAGGACAGATATATGGCTGCAGTTTTGAATAACTATTGTCCTCACTCCGATCCAACAATATTGATTAGCAGGGCATTTTCTGTTTGTCTTTGTTCAGGGTGGTTTATTGGGTTAGGTGCCTTGGGGGAAACAAAAGGGAGTTGGGTGACTGCTTTGTGTTGACTAGGACGAAAGTGTATTTGCAGAAAGCAATAGCAAACTACTCAGTATAAAAATGCCTTTTTATAGCACATAATCATCATGATGTGCTGTGCTGGAATTATAGGCTGTCATATTTCGCCATCTCACACGATCCCCAGAATCACAGATCAGTTTGATGTTTTTGTCTCAGCCATGCCATCCAGCTATTTACATTTTCGCCTTCTGCTTGCTGTCTTGCCAGTTGTTACCAAGTTTTCGAGCTCATTCCTTCTCATTAACTGACCAGAAAATATTGACTGTCTGTGTCTAATTTTATTTTTCTATCGATTTTATGACTTTCGTCTGTCTTAATGAAGATTGCTTTGTTTGTTTTCTATCCTTCTGTGATATTCTTTGCATTCTTCTCAGAAACCCCATCTCTGCCACAAATAAATGTTTTTTTAGCCTGTCTGCTTATTGTCTGAATACTTCACCAGCATATTACAACACAAACTCTACAGAAGACTTTAACTCTTTGTCTGAATACTTTACCAGCATATTACAACACAAACTCTACAGAAGACTTTAACTCTTTTTTTTCAAAACTGTAAGTGACATCTTATTGGTGAGAATCATCTGCATCTTGCTAAAAGTGCATAAAGCCATTACATACTTCGGTGGGTGTGCTGTGTCCTGAAGAGCGTATGCAACAACTGACTTTTAGGTAGTGATCATTTCTGACACCTTTTGTGCCATTTCAGTGGCTGGGTGTGAATTCTGTTTATATTCCATTTTTGTAAGTTCATGAGAATTCCATTTGTATTCCATTGTGGTAAGTTCATAACCTCAGTGGCTGATGAAGACATCTTTTCATTTGGAGGTTGCAGGTTCAAATCTGAATGTAGTCTTCATAACTTTCAGTTGTTATGTTCTAGTGTGACTTCTAATGTGAACAGGGTTGCCCAAGGAAAAAGAAAGAATATGACCTCTGATCTCCACTTGTGTCCTCTTCTATGTGCAACTGATCAGTATCTGTGAATTCATTCCTTACACTATTTCAGTCCCCCCCAAAAAACTTTCAATATTACCACTTTTGCTGTGTATAAGGGGAGGGGGGGGGGGGGGGGGGGGGGGGGTCCTTGAGTCTGAAGATTTATGGCTGCCTGGCTAATGCTGTTGCCACAACTGTGCAGGTGAGGATTTCATTTTGCCCCTGACAGAAAAAATACCCAGCCTTACTGAGGATTCGAACCTGGCTCTCCTGCTTAAGAGCCCATCGTCCCAACCGTTTGGCCAGCCGCTCTTCGATATTTCAATGGTTCTGATTTTTTTATGCTGTGTTATGTTAACTTCACCTTCCACAGCCTTCTGTCTCAAGTACTGCCAGC